AATAATATATGACAGGGTTACCTGATATTGTAATCATTATTGATCAACACAAAGAATATACGGCTTTACAAGAATGTAGAACTTTAGGAATTCCAACCATTTCTTTAATTGATACAAATTGTGATCCTAATCTATCAGATATTGCAATTCCAGCAAATGATGATGCCATGGCTTCAATTAGATTCATTCTTAACAAATTGGTTTTCGCGATTTGTCAGGGTTATTTTAGTGATTTAAGAAAGCCTTAATAACTCTAATTGCTGAATAACATAAAAAAAACTCACTGAAAAAAGTTCTATTTTGTAAGGGGGCATCACAAACACCACCATTTGCTACCCATATTTTGGATCATGATTACACTGATAATCGATTATCAACACTGATAGTCGACTATCGTACCCTTCTGAACTCCCTTGGCAAAAGCAGTAAACCCAAATAATCAATTATAAGTTTTTGATAATCGACTATCTGCCCTCCTTGAAGCTTCTTGGTTTAGCAGCACAACTACATAATCAATTATTCAAAATCAATAATCGATTATTGAGTGTTCCTGAACTTTGAACTCAAAGATGCTCCAGTTTAGCTGCCTTTTACCCTTCCTCCCCCTTTTGCACACCTCAAAAGTATAACTTGTTTGTACCCCGAGTCTCGGGTATAATAAATTATGTCTATTTTTTTGCAGCACTATAAGTTGTTCACCCTGATCTTCAATATCCTCATTGCTGAGTTGAGTGGTGAATGCGCAATTGTTGTTCCCCATAGCTTCCTCAAAATCTCCCTCATCATTGCTCTATGTAGACATGAATTCTTGCCTTTTCTTTTTGAGGTTATTTGCACATTCATATTGAATATGTCCAAACCCTCCACATTCAAAGCACTATGGCCCTTTTTCTTGGGTTCATCAAAGAGAGGCTTCACCTCTTTTTGCCGTATGCTATTAAATTGAGAAACTTTTGATGGTTCTGCCTGAGCACCATTTTTTCCTCTCTTCTGCATCCATCGCCTCTTGAACTGCTGGGTGAACAGTGATAACTATTCTTGAAAGTTCTCATCCAGTGCTATGTCATCATCATCGTCATCTTCATGAGCAAGGATATGAAGGCAATCTGTTTGTCGCTCTTCATATGTTTGAAATCTTCATTCATCTAGGGTTCAATTGTTTCCAAATTTCCCATGAGTTGATCCAGTGTCATGTTCTTTATATCATGTGCCTGATGTATTGCCTTTGCATCCATAGCATAGCTCTCAGGTAAGGGTCTCAGGACTTTAAGAACTAGACTGTCTTTAGTGAAAGGTCATCAAAGATTTGCAGCCTCATTTTCAAGTTCTATTACCCTTCCGTGGAACTCAACTATTTGCTCCATGTCATTTATACGCAGATTTTCATATTTAGTCCTGAGAATCTGCAGTTTAGTGTCTTGACATGCTCGTCGCCTTCATGAGTAGTTTCAAGGATCTACAAAGCTTTCTTGGCTTAAGTACATTTTGATATAAGTCTGTACTGCGAGTTGTCTACTACACCAAATAGAGCATTAAGAGCTTTATCATTGCATTCAGCTGCATATGCTTCTTTCTTGGTATATTTTTCAAAAGCCTTGACCAGTTTCTCACCCATGGTGTTAGTCTCCGTAGGTTCAGTCCAACCGGTTTCGACGCTTCTCCATACTTTGCCACCTTGTGATTTTAGAAAGGCTCTCATGCGTTCTTCTAGAACAGAGGTGGTCGTTGAACATTGGCACCTTTCTCCATATCACCCATGATTGATTAAGGCTAGTAAATTAAGCCCAACAATTTCGATACCAATTGAAAGTTGTAGAGGGTACAACAACAACGACCAACAAGATAAACCGAGCAAATACATCTAACAGATATACTGATGCAGAGACTTCTGTAGCACAATCACAAGAACATAGAACAAACAAAGAGCGACAACACTTTCTCAGTCATTGTCACACACGTAGTAAGCAAAATAGAAGAAGTAAAGAAGACACGGGAATTGTTTACGCAGATCGGAGCAACTCTCCTACATCTGAGGAGCCCACGTCCGTGTAATAGCCCTTCCACTAAATCATCGTAAAGATTACACCTTCAATCACAATAGATTCTATATAGTGTATTGACTTAATCTACTTGCCAATTATTTGATGACAAACTCTATTTGTGTCACCTTCTACGGCTGGTTACACCACCTTTGATAACTCCATTAAATAGACGTGCTATCAGCCCTTCTCCAGCATTTCATAGATCAACAGCTGGATATCGAGTACTTATTCATTACAGAACGTCTGATCAGCAGCAAGGCTTTTGAGACTTGTATGTTTATGCACAATGCCTCATTAGAGTTAAACTAAATGAGCCCTGCGCAACACTTCCTCAGTTCTCATAGTATTTTGTGTGTGTGTGTGTATATGTATGTATGTATGTATGTATGTATGTATGTATGTATGTATGTATGTATGTATGTATGTGTATGTATGGTTTGACTTCAGTCAGATGACATGTTTCGGTCAATGACACTTTCAGTCAGATAACATGCTTCAGAATGAACACTACCTTGTTTGAGAATGAGCACTATGTTGCTTCAAAATGAACGCTTTGCTGAGCAAACTCAGAATGGGTACTAGGTCTATAATGAGCAAATGTGTGAGAATAAACCCTACGTTGTTTGAGAATGAACATCATGCATATGTTATTCAAAATGAACGCTATGTTGTCAATTGACTCACTTGGAATGAACACTATGTTGTTTTGAAATGAACAGTACATTGTGATGAACAGTTGGGTGAGAATGAACCCTACGTTGGGTTACAATGAGCACTACATTGATCCAGAATGAACCATACACTGTCATATGACTGAAAGTGTCATCTGACCGAAACATGTCATCTGACTAGAGTCGATCATATATATATATATATATATATATATATATTTGTTTGTTTGTTTGGGTGTGTGTGTGTGTGTGTGTATACTTTCATAAACTTTCATAAACTTTTCCAAGCCTTCGCCTATTTAGAGAAATTAGCTAATTGCCTTCGTCCACTCCTTGAGAGTAGCAAACCTGGCTATCCCCGGCAACAACGCCATTTGATTGAGTGTAGTTTTAATTTTCGCATAGTAAACCTTCCGAGTAAAGGGTTTGTTTTCTTTCCAAGTGTCGTGTCTCGCAAAGAGTGGACGACACTCGGAGAGAAAACTAACCCTTTACTAGGAAGGTTTGCTATCTGAAAAAATACGATCATCAGACCTCGAGTTCAAGAGCATTTCACCACGAATTGCCAATAATGATAGATATATGACACATTTTAAGGTATAATCATATAATATTAGAAATGTGACTATTTAAACTACTAACAATATTAATTTTATGTACTCAATAGAATTGTATAGGAGCTATTGATGGTACTCACATCGTAATAAATATTCCTGAAGATGAGCAATTACATTATAGGGGAAGAAAAGGAATACCAACTACAAATGTATTAGCAGTGTGTTACTTTGATATGTTATTCACATATGTTTTAAGCGGTTGGGAGGGACTGAATTTTCCTAGACACTATAAAAAATGCAAGCTAAGTATCAATTTTCCACATCCACATCAAGGTAATTGTAATTTTTTATAATGTTATATTAAAAAATTAAATCATCAACACTTTTGAGTTGTATTCAATTTTAGGTAAGTATTATTTGATGGATAAAGGATACCCTGAAAGAGCTGGATATTTAACTACATACCCAAAAAATAAGGTACCTTCAGTGTGAGTTTCGTGGCGCAAACCCAAGAGAAAGTCAATAAGTTTTTAATAGAGCGCATTCATCATTAAGAAATTGCATTGAGAGAGCTTTTGGTATTCTTAAAGCTCGATGGAAGATATTACAAAGAATGCCAAGATATTTATTAATAGATCAAAAAAGATTATTTGTTCGTGTTTTGCTTTGCACAACTGTATTCGAATGAGCACAATTGGTGACCAGACATTTCAATTGGTTGAAGATGACCCTAATTTTGTACCCATAGATGTGTTTGAAGATGTTAAAAACCATGTTTCAAATAATGAGATGGTGATGAGAAGTCAAGAAATAAGAAACATCCGTAAATAATATTACTTCTAGTTTGACGGCGAGAATATCTAATTAGTAAAAAGTCAAGAGTTTGTCTGATTTTTTGTCACTTCTAATAATGCTCATGTCGTCTCAAAAATTCAGATTGTGATGCTTGTCTCGAGAATTTTTTTATTTAATTTTCTGACTTAAAATTAGTGTAGAGTATTTTTATATCTCTATGATATGATATTTAAAAAGCTATAAAATAAAATATACCATGAATGGTTGTTATTTATAGAATGAAAAATGAAAAAATACAAAAAAATGTCTACTCATAACATATAAATGTAAATTCTCTTTTCTTAAATTATAAAAAAATGCAACAGCTTTTTTTGTCAAAAAAAAGAAGATAGATGTAGAGTATTTGTTTGTATGATATGCGTATTTTATCAAAATTAAAAATCACACACAAATTAACATAAATGGAGGGATACCTCATACAGTATATAATCTCACTTACAAACAGTTAACTTTAAACAGTTAAAGTTACCAAACATTTAGTTTTTAACAACTACTCCCTCCGTCCTAAAACTTTCTTTCCAGAGCACTATTCCAACTTCACGAGAATTTATATTTATTTGTGTTTTTTTATGGCCATAAAATAAAATATTCTTGTCACCACTTGTTTTGTTGAACTTTTGATGTAGTTTTTAAGTATGTATGTTTTATTTTTTATTTCTATACCAATATTTAAATAAAATAGATTGAAAAAACTTGAGATTTTTTTTCGTTTTGCGCAACGGGAAGAAAGATATAGGACGGAGGGAGTAACAGAAATAGCCGGTCAAAATAGCTAATTCAATGAACCAACAATAACAACCAAGTTTCAAACAAGATCAAAGTCAAATAAAAGACTATCATATACTCCGTATAGAAAGTGATAATAAAAAGCTAAATAGAAAAACTTCATATTATAAATATAACTTTTACACATAGGAGTATTTTATATACCTGCACTATATGAGCATCAAACAATGCCAATAAGCAAGCCTCAAAACCTAATCAGCTGTGCTCACTCTTCCGGAGCTTCGGCTATTTCCTTCTCCTGGGAATCTTAAATCCGTTTCTTCTTCGACAGTGTATCCTCTTTCTAGTTAGCTTCATTGAAGTCCGTCTGTGCTCAATCTGAATTTCCAGGCCCAACACAATGGTATTTTCTCTCTCTTGTTTTCCCCCACAAACTACTACCAGCGGCGAAAAGTCTTGATTTCTTTGCGCTGTAATTTTTCTGTATCAATCGAAATTGCTAAATTTAAAAAAAACGAGTGTTGTGTTAATTGTTTGGTGCTAAAAATGAAATTGTAGAAGCTAAAGTGAAATTTCATGATCTTTTCTTAAGCAATTAGATTTAGCAGCGCTTAGATGAGCTTAATATGTCTGACGTTAAACACATAAGGATCCTACGGATTAGTTTTGTAAGATAACAGTGATACTCTAGTGGCGCCCACAAAGTTATATTCTTCTCTTGAAAGTTGATTTCTTGTTTATAACTGATAATTGATGGTCATCCTTATTTTGTCATCCGATCATGTCCATTTTTTATATTGAGTCTTCTGAATGTTCAGTTGAAATAGGCTCAGTACTGCTACCTTTTGCCTTTACAGAGTGGCAGGGGTGGGAGGGGTCGTCCTCAAAGGAACTCTTCTTCCAGAGACTATCCTCCGAGATCAGAAGATAGAGTCCATCATAAAAGGAGCAACCCTCCTTCAAGACATATTTGGATCGGAAATCTCTCTCAAAGTTTAAGTGAAGGTTCTCTCACTAATCAACTTTTGCGTTTTGGGGAGCTGGAGAGCGTTTCATTTCAACCAGGCCGCAGTTATGCTTTTGTTAATTTCAAACACGAGGAGGGAGCCTTTGCTGCTATGAGACAACTCCAAGGTTCTGTTATTGCTGGAAATGCAATAAGAGTTGAGTTTGCAAAGGCGGTTAGTCTTGTCACCCTTTGTCTGTTACTTTCTGAGCTTGATGAATGTATATACAAAATTATTAACCAGGTTTCAGGCTTCCATGACTTTTGCCTAAAGTAAGTCAATATGCATCTTCCCCTATTAAACTTGATCTCTTTTCAAAGAACTTTGAATCGGAAGAAAAGCAAACATAGGATGCACCATAACATGTTCTGGCTGAAGATTAACTCTACTTTTCAATTGCATCAACATGTACCATGCACAATAATACGCCCCGAGATCCACTTTGTATGTTGTATGGGGGATTGTCCTTGAACAATATTAAATGCACTGTCAATTTCTCCAGTTGCAGAGCTACTCCCTTTAATTTATGCATTACCATGTTCAACTCACCATCATTTTCTCTGCCTTCGACCAAGGAACACAGCTTTCTCCTTAACGGATATATATTGCTCTGTAATTGTATAATTCTCAGCCACTTAGAGTCTCTTGGTTTTATTAAGTTTGCTATCGCCAATCCACATCCCTTGATTTCTAATAGGGGGCACACTATGTCACTATAGATGAATAAGAAAGCAGTCCACTAGACAGTTTTCGTATAACTATTATTGTATTTCTTTAATGAAATATTTATTCATTAACCATTGTACATACGTCACATGTCATCTAGCAGTTATTGCCTTTCTTCGGGAAGATGGAGCAATAATAATCTATATGTCCTCTGGGAGTTGAAGAAGTAGAAGGGTTTAGAAGGCAACATTAAGAATGATCTTTTACACATATATCCTGAAAAGCATTCCAAACACCTTAGGCTAGTTCTGTAACATTCTTCATCTGTCTATGGCATTCATTTAATCACCTCAGGCTGCTTAGATTAGAATCTCCAAGAGCCTTTTTAGCCTAACATAATGTGCAGTATGATCATTGCATAGGTTATTGGCTATGAAATTTCATTGCATACCCACTCAATCAATAATCTATGGTATGTTGGATGCTGAAATTTCTTCTAGCTGACTTGTGAGCTCTACCACTCTACGTAACTTTGTATGCTTCCCCTCTGTTTTACATAGTTGTGTATTGGCATCTCATTAGCACTTGAGTACAGGAGAGTTGGACTAAGAACTAGGAAGTGGATTTTTCACCACCTAATTTGGAAATCATCATCTTTGTGGCATCAAATGTAACATATCACTTTTGGTATCATCAATTATACATAAACAGAATATCCTCTTGCCTGCATTCACTACCACTTGGGCACTTGGTTCAACTTCATCAACTACTCAAGTTGCAGAAATCAATGCGCGCTTCAGTGCTGCATATGCATAAAGGAGCATGAGCAGTAACATCGAGATGTCCATATTCATTTATATATTGTTTCCAACTTCAAGCACCACAAACAGTCAAATTCTGATGTCCCTGTGCAGTGTCTTAGCATCTGATTGAATACAGAATTGTAGTGTCATTCAGCCAAATGTGAGTCTCAATTTAAAATAAAATTCATAATATATATTGACTACTTATTTAAAAAAATCAGAGAAAATATACCAAATCATTCATTCAAATTCAAGAAACTTCATAGTTCATACTCAAATCCTGCAACAACCAAATCATATTACCACCAAGGTACTAAATACACGCGTCAAATAATAGTAAACAGAGCTTTAGAAGAATATGACTCTTCGGTCCCACGAATGACTAATCCACTATGTTTTGGACTTGATTGCTGGCACACAAAATTAGAAAAGATGGAATTGTGTGGTTCATATTGAACATGTAAAGTATGGATAAAGTTTGATTTCGGACCCTTCAACCACAAGTTAATAAACATGGAATGGACAAAGATAGTGGGGCAAACAAAAATGGTAAAAGGGATGAAGACAGTAGGACAAATTGAATGTTAAACAGAAAGAAATGTAGCAGAGATAAGAATATAAACAAAATAAAAATATTAAAGAGTTTGTTATTTGCGAATGGCGATTGTATTAAACAGAGTATCTCCTCATACATTACCAAAAACAAAGAATAATTTGATGAAAGTGGATGTGAACAGCAATCCTATGAATGAACCTGACTCCGGCCCCAAGATTAGGGCATGATATTAATCAAAGGAAGAGATGGAGTAGAAAGATAGAGAGCGGCATTAACAGTTTGGTGTAAATGTAAACAGTTCAGGTGTACCTTAAAAAATCTGCAAAACTTTTATCTAGCCTTCAACTAAGCATCTGTGCCTCATTGCTATGGGCCCTATGGCAATGCAGCTTAAACCTTAGTAGGATATTTTGGGAAGCCTTGGTATAATTCTAAATAGGCTGTGCATCATTGCCATCTTCCATAATACCATGAGGGGCCTCCCATTGTTATGCATCAGTATCCAATTTCAAACATTGGGAACTTGAGGGGTAGTTTTATCAGTGGAATGAGTGGATAAGGCTTTTGCCCTTGACCAAGTCTAAAGTGGATTGCACCTTTTTCTCTATGATCCTGATCCACATGTTACTCATAAACTTTCAATCAACAACATTAAGACAATTGTTTATTGGTGTGTACAATTATACAGAAAAGTACCATATATGGTTAAGATTGCTTTGGTTAAATCAAGAATCTTCTCAATCGTAATGTCTCTAATAGATCATAATGATGGACCAGCTCTTCAAAATTCTATGTGATAAATTTGACTTTTTGTTTGGAAATAGCTATGTCATTGCAAATCCTGTACTACCCATCCCACCAAGAAAGGGATGAGAAGGTGACAGTCAAAATGTGCAACTTATTAAGCAGCTTATATCCTAATTATTCCTATGTTTATTAAGCAAATCTGGATTCATGCACTTTCAGCTGAGTTCACCTTGTTGGGAATGCAATCCTTATTGACTAGTCGTAATGATAATTAGTAGTTGAAGTGTTGAACCTGTAATTTGCAATTGATTCACTGTGTGTGATAGCTGTGTGAAAAGTACACCACCCTGCCAATGTGGAAGTCAGTGAAAAAAGTTGAGACTTTAATTCAGCAGACAACCAACTCTCATGAAGGTTTACCTACTATGTTCTATTGCCCTGGTTGCAGAGACCTCTATCTCTTTCTATGATGCTATGTATCAGCGCTCGTGTGTGTGTCTGTGTGTGTGCTGTATGATGTGTCCAATAATACACATACATGGATGTCCATTCCTTGCCGAACCCTCCCTATGAAGGGGTTCTTTCCTGGAAACAGAAAATATGAAGTTGTCAATTTCCTCTTGGATGATCACAAATGGTTTTGCTTTGATGGATATGCAAGATTAAGATCAATCGCAAATAGTAGTACTGGGAAGGCCCAGAGGGAGACTTTGAGGTGGTTTTATGCTGACATTGATACTCAGCCAATGTAAAGAATTGTACATTGCCTCCTTAGAGCAGTAGCTATTTCCCTTACTCTTTATCGGGAAAACATATATTAAGCTTTCCATTCTGGGCCCGCACGCTGGGCACAAAACAGAGAGCAATCTTATTTTGTCTTAATCTACCTTATATTTCTTATCTTCTTTGAGCTCTTCATGGAGACCATATTTTCTTCCTCGCTTCTTTTCAGTGTGCTCACATTGCTCTCTTCCTCCTTGCTTTTTCCATCACTGTGTAAAACAATGCATATCTTATTTTGCACTTCTTTTCATTCATATACCCACCATATAACTTCTTTATCATTGTCATACCTGTATTCTGTATTTTGAAATGTGCTGAACTTAGTATCAAACAAATGCCAACTCAAGTACTCAACTATTGATAAGGCTTAACATGACGAGCACTTTTAATGATGGTTTGGGATGACTTTGAGCAGTTTGCATGTTACTGTCGGCAGTTTAACCAATAGGCAGAATAATAAGCTTTTAATGCACTTGGTAAATGTCTTGTGTAACATCTAATCTCAGAGGATGTAAAGCACTGAGGGATCAGATAATGACCCATCTATTGCAAAAGAAGAGCTGTTCTCAGACTAGAAGATGAAAAAGCCAGATAATATAGCCATGAAACAATGATATACCTCTTGATCTATTTACCTGAAGAACAAATACCCTTTCATTTGTTACTTGACAAAAAGGTCATGCTAAAACTGAATGGATGATTACAGGGTTCCATTCGACCGTCTATGTAGTATAGCTCTGAGTGTTGGATAATGAAGAAGGCTGTGAGCGGAACAATGAAGTTGCTGAATTAAGGATGGCGTGGTGGAATTGTGTTAATAACTTTTTGGACAGAATACCGAGTATTTCATTCTGAGCTAGGGGGGCTATTAGTGATAAAGTAAGATAAGACCTATTGTGGCTTGGTCACATCCACCATAAAGATGCAACGACAACAATGAGGAGAGTATAGAATTTTTTTGGTAGAGGGGACTAGGAGGAAAGGCATGCCAGCAAGACGTGATATGTGCAGTTGAGGTTGAACTTAGCAGTCCTAAAGCTCTATGAGGCATAGCGTCTTTCCATGCTTTTATTAGTTGAACAAATAACCAATGTGTTTTCCTGCTTGAATAGTCGAATTGCATGGAGTTTCTTTCTGATATCATCCATGATTTCATATCTGCTTTAAAGTTTTATGCGTTTAACATATAAGACTCATCTATTACATACAACGCGAGGTCTCAATGGAATGGATCTTAAAACTACTGCGATTTTGAGGATTTGGAGCATTCAAGATAGCACATAGTAGTATTTGTTGTTGCCAGTTAAAAAAATCCCCCCCCCCCCACCTGCATCTTTCCGTTACCCCAGATTCTTCGGGTGTTTGTACTATTATTCCTGATGATTTACATCTTTGCTATTTGATAAAAAAACACCATTTTGTTTTATCTCGATGGGTTTTATTGCTTCAAGTAAACTGCCAGGAGAAGTTACTTGTGATTGCAATTAACTGGAACAACTGCTCCAAATTATTTCTGAACCATTAAACAGAATGGTAATCATACTCAAACAAATTATTTTATTGTGGAGTACGAAATACATGGCATTGAAACCAGGAAATACATGTCATTTTGACCCTATCAATGAAGTCTCTCCTGTCACAATTGCAATATATGTTCTATAATTTTTGCTCAAACAACAACATTACCCAGTGCCTCAAAGTTCCCTCCCTTTGCGGGGTAATGGGGGGGGGGGGGGGAATATATGCAGCTTGACCACAATGTTTAAGACATAGAGCGGCTGTTTCCAGATGACCCATGGTAAGTGCGAAAGTTACTTCACTATCAGAAGAAGCACAAATAGCTTATAGAGCCATTTTGCTTTATTCCATCATACTCCAAAGCCATAAAATAGTGAATATATGGCTCATCGGGGGGGGGGGGGATATTAGAAATATCAGGGATAATAGGAAACACGTTATTATTATTATTATTATTATTATTATTATTATTATTATTATTATTATTATTATTATTTTTCTTATTTTATTGTTATCATAATTGTTAATCCTTATATATAGGGATGTAACCTTCTTTGTTCAATAAGACCAATTATTCTTAAATTGTATTATGGTATCGGAGCAAGACTTTCTTCCTCTAAAAAAAAAATTATGTGCGTGTGCCTAACAACCACCACCGAAAGTTTGGAAAATTTACTTGTTATTCTTCTTCCTCTTCTCAACTATGTGACTTCTTGGAACTTTGATATGTTAGCATGCCTTGTTTGATGATTCCGGATGATAGGCCACATGTATCATCAGACAATACTATAGATTTGGATGGCCAGAGCATGATATGTATTGTTGCGAAATGGTATTGGATTCAGATCTTCATTTATTCTTGGTTTCTTATCACAGGAGAAGTCAACACCACTACATCGAGATGAGGAATATTTGCAACATCGTGATGAAGAGTATTTGCTACGTCGAGACGAACACCCCACGGTTAGGGGATCCCCAGCTGGGCACAGGGAACCTAGGACACGCTACTCCAGTCCTGACCCACCATATCTAGACAAACCAAAGGCAAGCGACCGAAGTTCAGAACCCAGTGAAGTATTATGGATAGGGTTTCCTTCTCAGCTGAAAGTGGATGAGTTTGTTCTAAGGAAGGCTTTTTCACCATTTGGAGAGATTGACAATATTACTGCATTTCCTGGTCGAACTTATGCTTTTGTGCGCTTCAAAAATGTAGCAGCAGCATCCAGGGCGAGAGAAACTCTTCTGGGAAAATTATTTGGAAACCCTCGTGTGAATATATGTTTTGCTAAGAGTGAATCTGCTAACTTCAACCGTCATAGAAGCTCAATGGATTATCCATCCCCTCATTTCAGGACACATGAGCACCAAGAGTTCACAGGTAACTTTCAACAGGAAAGGAACTTTGGTAATGCTACTGGAGATTGTCACTATAGGTCTCCTCGTTTTTTCCCCGAATTGGATTCTCCCAGTGATCCCAAACTGGGTGGTAGGAAAAAAAACTTATGGGATGGTGAGGATGAACCGTTTGAGAGAGGAGGGCCACCTGAACATGCATATGCTTTCCGAACTCCTCCAAGGAAAAGGCATCAAGACTTCCGTGATTTTTCTCCACAATTCCGTCGCCGAGATCCATTGTATGATGACGATCAGTGGGACTTGCCTGAAGATACATTGCTCTTTCGTGAAACAAAGAAGCTGAGGACAAACTCCTACGATCCTGACAATGAGCTTCCAGAGTATCCTTTGTCTAATTCAGGACCGTGCAAGCCGATGATCTACCACCATGATTATCCACGACATGACAAAACTTTTGATTCTAGACCTCTTGTTGATTACAGAAAAAATTCTGAGGGCCCAGGTCTGTCAAACTCCCCTTATGGCAGTGAAGATGATAGGTGGGGTGTATCACACGGACATTTTCAGACGGTTTCACATCCTACCGCAACAAATCCTGAACTCAAAAGATTATCTAAACCAGAACCACGCCCATCACTCATGATTAAGGAGTGGAAATGGGAAGGTACTATAGCTAAGGGAGGGAGTCCAGTGTGTCGAGCACGTTGCTTTCCAGTCGGACAACCTCTGGACATGAATTTGTAAGTAACATGTGCTCCATGATAAGTCTAATCCATAGCCAATTTCTTGCCAAGAGTCTCTTTAATCTAATGTTAAGATGTATGTATGAGAGTTTAGTAACAATTCTTGATCTACACCACGAATATTGTTTTAATCACTTTACTAAGGGCCTTGTTTGGTAGCACTAATCGGTTTATTCTGCTTAAGAAAATAAAATGTTTTTCCTTTTAGAAAAACTCAGCATTCATTTGCAAAGAAATAACCATACCAAACGGGCCTTAAATCTGGAATGCGACTAGATTGATATTGGTCTTGTTAAGCATCTTGTTGAATAATCCTGCAGGCCTGAATACTTAGACTGCACAGCAAGGACTAGTTTGGACATGCTTTCAAAGCATTACTACCAGGCTGCTCGCTCTTGGGTTGTTTTCTTTGCCCCTGCAAACGACCCCGATATTGCATTCTACAATGAATTCATGAATTACCTCGGGGATAAGCAACGGGCTGCTGTTGCTAAATTGGACGATTCTACTACATTGTTTCTTGTACCTCCTTCAGAGTTCTCAGAGAAAGTACTGAAAGTGCCAGGGAAACTGAGCATGTCAGGTGTTATCCTGAGGCTAGATGCAGGAGGCTATGAGCAGCCACATGAACATGACAAGAAAGATGCTGATGGTTCGTCATTCTATCCAGCATCACCATCAACCATGCCTTATCCCCCATCATCATCTGGATCTAAGTACTCAGCATCCTACCCGATGATCATCGACAAGGGGGCTGTCCCTAGGAATTCATCATATCCAGCTAGTAATGCTGCAGGATTGGCTCATCCCAATAGCAGCAATGGGGCTGGATATGATGAATATATGCGGGGCCTGCCGATTAGTTCTTCCCATGAGATGCATAGCAATGTGAATTATTATCAACCATCCTATAATCACACTGTCAATTCCAATGCCACTCAAGAGTATGATTTTAGTGGGGCTGCCAGGGCGGGAAAGCAAAATTCAAATCCTTCCTCGGCTGCCGCTGTGGGCCCTCATCTTCAACCAGAGCAATTAGCACAACTGGCCTCATCCTTTCTTGGGAAGCAGCAGATAGTGACACAACACTCTGAAAATGCATACAGGCCACCTCCTATGCACACCAGTCAATTGACTGAGTTTCCCTCATCACAGTTTGGTCAATCAACATCGCTGCCTCCTCCACCACCGGCTCCAGCACCAGCGCCCATTCAAAGAGAGGTTCAGACAGTTGTGCCGTCAAACCAGCCATCTACCCAAGACAACAACAGTGCAGACCCTGAAACACGCTTGCATGCAACATTGCAGTTGGCTGCAGCTCTACTAAAGCAGATCCAACAGGGTAAAGGAAACTAAGAAGTATGCCGCAGTTTGTTTATTTTGGCAGCTCCTCCCCAGAAACAATTTCAATGTTTGGCTATTTGTAACATTTCTGGACATGTGAAGTTGAATCCTTATCTTTTTTTTTATTGTGGTTCTCAGATTGACATTAATTTGTTTATTCAGTTAGGAAAGAATGACTGCTTGCCCTTTTTAGGCGAGTTAATAGTTTCTCTCCATCTACACTTTGAATTGATTGATGACCCATGATCAAAACACTTCGGAACAAAGAAACATTAACTCGAAACTTTTATCCTTTATTTACTGAAAGTTGTATACGTACAAAAGAATAGGAGGCATCTTACATTTTACATACAAAAAAAAAATCAATAAATGGAGAACACAAGAGAATGTGGGATATAGGAAGAGAGCTTAAATCCAACATGCCAACCCAATGAACATTCAGAAGTACAAGTAGTTTGATGATTCTGGTCCATTACTTGTGTCTCTGCAAAGAATAGACCGAGCTTCAGTTATTGAGCGAGGTGGCTCCAGATCTTTCTCTTGCAGAGTATTTCCTTGCAATCGCTGCATCTGTGAAGCAAAAATGTCGTCCAAAATCTGCAAAACATAAATGTCTTATTCTTAGAAGTTTCGTTCATGAGTCTATGTCATGAAATTCATATGATCTATACATAACACTGCATACCCCAAGTGCATGATATGCCCCATTATACCAGACTCTATTCTCTTTTCTTCCCTCCAAAAATTTCAACACAATCTGGTTTTTTTATATAAAAAAGAAGAAGAAAAGAAACAGTAGTTAGTACAACAAAACAAAGAAACCTATGGATTGAAAGCAGATGTGTGTGCTACTAACTAACCTGACCCATTTTGTCCCAGAATCCGCGACAGATTGCAATGAATATTCGGCTGGTAAAGACCTCCTGCAAGTTGCATATGGAATCTGAGAGCTGTGTTCTTAAAATTTGCATTCTTTCACGGATTTCAGCCTCTCCGTCCGTTTCTTTAGTCTCCTCTAGGATCCTTAGCAACCGCGTGCTCCTGTTAGCTTGCATCTGAAAAAAACACATAAAATCAGTTCTTCTTTACTGTGGTTTTGACTGCACCATACTGTTATGGACAAGTTAATGAATGAGTCTTTACATTGCTTGCAAGCTTAACCACAACTGCCTGCAAATAGTTCTTGTACTTTGTCCTTAGCATAACACTAATTCCATTTAGCTGCTCCCCAAACGTCGTTTTCCTCTCTCCGTTTTCCGGCAGATATGATGCCCATAGCTTGAGAATTCCCTCCACTTGACAGTGGAGAACATCAAGAATTCTCTTCAAAGTATTCAAGAAAGTTCCCAACTGCCAAATGATGCGCAGAAACACAGTGAATAAATAAAAACATATATTACTATATAAATCCATTTATTCATTTGAGCCTTTTTACACTTACCTGACTTGGGATGCAGTATAGAGCAGTTGACTGTCTTCTCGCTAATTTCTGAACTTGCATGCCAAGCCTTTTTTGTACACTACCCTTCAAGGGAGTCAATATATCATTATACTGTTTTTCCAGTGATTTTATAATTGCTCTCTCTACATTTGCAACTGCCTATAGATATGTCAAGAATATACGTTAGCCATTTATCAGCATAGTAAACCTATCCATCAATAAGCATCAACATTGAGATCATACATCCTCCAAGACCAGTGTATACTGAGGCCACCGATGAATCACTACTTCATACTCAAGCAACATGTGTTTGACCTTGTCAAAGAGTTCTTCAGCAAATGGTGAAGTTGAATAATTTGTAATCACTCCAGACCATGGCACCTGAATGGAGATTATGTCATAAGAGTTTGCAAGGGAGTTGCATGATATATGATGAAAGTATATAGATATTTTACCTTCTCTGCCTTGCAATGTTCAAGTAAACTAAGTTGCAGGTCCTCCACCCAAACCATTATATAATCATGGTACAGGCCTCGTGAGTCTATACCACCTTGCAGCATGCTGCAAATATGAAAGTCAAGGGTTGAATAAAACTGTTTGTTCTAAAGGACAGTCTTTTTGAAAAAACAACAATTAACATGAGTTTAATCATCTCTCACTAACCGAACATTCCATAACTCCAAATTCCTTTCTAAATCAGCAGTTGCTATCAAAAGTTCATTAACATATTGCATGGGACTTGAAGGAGGACAAGCAGCAAGAAAAGCTTTAAGTCTCTTGCACAACTCTGTGCTGTAGACAGCAGTTGTGATGCTTGATAGGTCGATGGAACTGAAAGCATCGAAAAGGTATTGTGAGATAAACATTTAGTGAAACGCAACACAATCCTTAAGGAAGTATTATTTTATAAATGAACGTTCTGATATATGACTTTACCTTGGTAGTATATTCTCTTTGTGGATTTTGATATCTGCTTGAATTTCATTGCTTATGTTGATGACCAGGCTCTTTACCTTAGCATAAGCTGTAGAGATAGTTACTGAATCCATAACCAAACCTTCTGAGCTCAAGGACAAAAACTCATCAGTTTCTACCATGTGTTTTCTACACCTCTTAGCAGCTGCTGTCTGGTAGAATCATAGTTATAGTTTATTAGACTAGTGAGAGTGATAAAATTATCAATATAGTTACATAAAGGGGAACTCAATCAATCACTCACCTGCAAATAGTTTTTAAGCAGTGTCTGAGAGTCTTGGGCAAATCATGGAGAAGTGTGTAGATTTGTACTGCAGGGGCAAGTGCTGGTGCTGCAGTGTCTGCTATAGAAGATGAGATGTCTGCTAGCCCTGTAGGAGAGCTTTCATCTAATGTTTTGTAGTTCTGAAACACATCCGCTAAGAGACTCTCGACACGTGTTTCACAATCCAACAATATGGTTTTCTGATGTTTAGCAAAAGAAGGAAATGAAATATCATGTTTGGGAAGCAGAATAACGACACAATTGAAAAGTGTTTTTGGTTAAGTGACCAGGAGCACACCTCTCTCCTAGTTAAACTTTTCTCAGTTCTGGACCTAATGACCGGAAGAAGTAGCTCGTGCACAAGCTCCAAACAATCTTGTGTTGGAGTGGCAATATCCATCACATGCGAAAGATATCTGAGCAAAACCAAAGAGTTAGTAAAGCTAATATTTGAAGTGAGCAGATAGTTCAAAGGGGACGATTGGCACCTCAGTTTAGTATATGAATCTGAGATTCCATAATAATCTGAGAATTCTCTCAGTAACCATTTCCAGTGTTCATCTATCCCTAAGTTTCTTGCACAAAACTGTCCCGCACGCATTGCAGCCTCTAGCAATAGATCATATGCAAGAGTCTCAACAACAGGTCCATTCTGTCACATTAGACCATGAAAACATTTTAAACTATGAAGGTTTCTATGCTTGCTATCAAGTAATAATGACTCATAAAGGTTCAGTTTAGCTAATACAACATCTCTAGGAAATCCTATCAAAGTTCATGTCCTTTGAGAGGTTTAAGACTGCCAAGTCAAACCTTACTGCTCATCTGGAGCAACATAGATATGATAAACAGAGTCTGTGAAAGACAAACCTTTAACTGTGACGTCTCATCACTTGTGAATGTACTATTAATGTAAAGCTGGACTTTCCCAACACACTCATGATCTTCAAGATAAACAGGCCACCACCGAATCTTTTCATGCTGTTAAAGTTATTAATTGTGTGATTAACATTCATTTAGGAAACAAAAACAAGCTATTGGTAAAATTTCTAAATCAAATTATGAAACATACAAGGTTATCGACCATAGATGCAACTGGAACTGTAGCTAGACCAAGGACATTTTTCTTAGAATCCTGGACTTCAACCATAAGAGCATCACCTTGGTTCTCTGGAAAACTGCAATGGTTACAATGCGTACAGAAGTTAGAATTTTTTAATGGAAATGGAGAAATGAAGAGCAATACACGTACAGGCTACTGAAGTATTAGTATTAAAGAAGAGATAAATCTGCATTCCCAGGGTACACTGACAACTCACAAATCATGGTAGTCCCCAGATCCAGGCCTCAAGGAAACAGAAGAACCCGGTTCAATATGTGTATCTTCTGTTGAACTTCTCAGGTGAATTAAGCATGCAAGTGACTCTGTTTGAAAGATAGTGAGTAGCCGTTATTATAAGCATTTTCTAAGCTATGCATTCATATGAACTTATAGAAAAAATTAATATTCTTTTTAGGTCTGTTAGACGACACATTAGATAGTGGACAATCTGCATTTAGCCTTTGATTATAGGTTAAGATTGCAAACCTTCAGATGTCAATACAAGTTGATGTAGTTTAAGAGAGCTGATTCTGTTCTTCACTACTGATGAAACATGCCGGACATAGTCTGCACCCACTTGCAGGTAAATTGCTCCACGAAATGAATTTGCGCTCTTAAGCTTCCTCTGTGGTAATACTCTCAGCTTTTTCACTGCCATCATTTGGTGAATTGTGAATGATATGAATGAAGTGTAACACATTTGCTCCACTTAAATATATGAATGCAATGAAACCCCATTCATGGAAGATGTAAACTGAGTCGAATACTTTGTAAAGCGACTGCTGGTACGACTTCAGAAAGAACATACAAAATATACTAGTGGTGAATGCATGTTACAAGATTTAAACCAAGTATTCAACATGCTGTGAAGTTCATTTAATCAAGTAAAAGCCATTTCAAACGAAAAGTGCACTTTAAAGATTAAGGTGTGTCTATTTAATGGTCTGATTATTGAGCTTTACGTTCTCTACCTTCTACACGAATCTTTCCAACTGCCTTTCTTAGTTTTGCGGGTAGTGCTTGTTCTGTGGATTTAATATTGTTTCTTTGCGTTGACTGACGATGCCGTGGTTGCAACAAAAATTTCTGCAGTCTAGAAAGTGTTGAGGAAAGAAAAAACATAAGAGATAGGAATGTGGCCAAAATAGTGTTTAGATATGGATTAGTGTTAAACTCGACTTCATACCCAAAGGCACTTCTAAGCAGCTTGCATTCATCGCGCAAAAAATCAGGTGCTTCAATACAACCTCTCGCCCATGCATTCAGGCATAGCCGAATACAAGCATCATAAGCCAGGAGAACTTGCCATGCATTTTGGTTGCTGTAAGTTACAAGAGATAAATGTAAACGATCAAACTCCTAGAACATTTTTGAAGATAATAGTAACATAACCTCTTCAAATTTACAATGTATGATTGATTTTGAAGTTCAACATGATATGATATTTAATATTTTATGCAATCATGTAATCTTTTTGTTAACAAGTATTTATAACAATGGAACTCATTGAGACAATTATTTTGGAATATATTTAATCTAAACATGCTAAAACAGTATAAACACGTGCAGATCAACATAATGTAAAAATATAATAACACCTAACCTCTAGCCATAGTAGTTGATTGCTTTAATAACTCTTAAAACTGCAGACAATTTAATTTACAGTTGTACTCTAGTATTATGTATATGAAAGCTTTGATTGGGTGAGGACCTCAATTGATAGATCAACATCCATGAGGATGATTTACTATGATAGATTATAATATTGTATGTATAGCAATATCATTGTCATCCAAGAGGCAAAGCCACTGCAAAAGGGTGCTTCTTTAATTTAATACATTGTTACTCCACCAAATGTTGTACAAAACAAAACTAGCATCTTCCAATAACACATTCCTACCACTAAAAAATGTACCTAAGAACTTCACAAGGTTATAGACACAAGACACACACATATGCATTCTTTTAAGTAAAACAAAACCTGGTGTCATAATGAGGTGAATGTTCTTCAACTGTGTTTGCTTGCTGTAAACACGCCTTTGATTCCATCTCTCCTGCATTTGCTTTATCTTGCCTGCACCACAAACCAAAAAAACTTTTGTATACTGAAACCTTTCACATACACACACATATATACCATGGTTTGGAGAAATAGGGAGGAAAAGAAAATGCTAAAGAAAAGAAAATTAAAAAAACAAAAATCCTAATTTTGTTTGGTTAGTAAGGAAAACAAAGATAAATATGGTT